CCCCCCCCCTCGCCCACAAACTCATATGCCGCCTGTGCTTCTTCAGTCGAGGACTTAGTGTGGTCTCACTCACTATATCCGTCGGAACTCCGGCAGGCTGTGTGTAGCTGAGTGCGGAGAGCGGCAGAAAGCGCCGGCGGGGTAGGCAGCCCAGCACCCCTGTGCCCGCAGTTGATACAACGCCTCCTCAGATTCATTCGGCCAATCGGCAAGAGATCGACGCCTGCGAGAGACAGGGTAGGCCATCCCGCAGTACACGCATGCACGGCAGGCGAGATGTTTGCCTACCACCTAGGCGCTACGAGACCTGAACTTGGCAGTTTAGTCACGGAAAATAGCGGACGCGCTTTCTGGACGACCCCACCACATTAACGGCGTTCCTTTCAGTTGAAGGACAAGTTTTTCCCTGGGCATAAAATTTGTTTTGTGTTCTACCTTGCCCTTGTGTTATTTGACTATTTTGACAGATAAAGAACTTCCCACCGGGAAGGGGCGAGACGTGAAAATACATCAGTGTGTGAAGGACACCTGACATTCGTCCTACAAATCTACATTCCCTTGTAATACTACATAGATTGAAAATACCAAAGAATGTACTGTCACATATTTTCAAATACAAGTTGTCCCTCCATAGTTGGTACAATAAGGCAAGAGTTTTCATAAATTTGTCCAATTGGGGCTAATTTGAAATAGTTGCTGATTAACTAAAACATATTTCAGATTCTAAAATTTGACAAAATTTAATGACACATTCAACATGTTAATAAATAGCAGGCACACAAAATATCCACAAAATTATCATAAATCTGCTTCATATTCTTTGAACCAATCATCACTTATCTTTTGTTATAACAGAGAGACCATTCTGGAAAAATACTGAGGCATGGATAAAATATACTTTACACAGAAAGGCAGTTTTTGTTGCAAACTTGTGTTCTTGGACTTCAAATATTTCACACTACCCAGTGTAAACAATTATTACCCCCATAAAATAAACTCTATGTTACAGGATATAAACATCAAAAGGCAGTATCTATGCTGTAAAACATTTAAGTGTGCCTACCTAATCACATAAAATCTCAGTTTCACAGATCTGTAGTTGTACTTAGTAACAATAGAGACACTAACAACGCTCAGATTCCACAATGTTAGACTCAGAGGGGCGGGCCGGGGGCGGCATTTTATTATCCTAGTACATTTTAATGTGGTACTTCCCTGCTAGCCTAACATTAGCCCCACAATTTTACATTGCCTTGTGGCAATGGCATAGAGATAATTGATAGAATGTACCCAAGTACCTACTAAACAATATATTTTGGAATACACAAATATGCTGCAGAAGTCAGTCTAAGAAACCAGGAATAAAATTTCAAGTAAGCTACAGATTTAATACAACATTTTTCAAACCATTAAATTTGATGTAATTTAATGACAAATCTCACAAATTTTCTTCATATTTACTTGCATTTTCCACTGTGAATATTTCACCCTACCCGGTGCAAATGATTATTACCCTCCAAAACAATAACTTTCCTTGTTGGGATGTAAAAACAAAAGCCAACATTAACTAATATTTAGGTGTAAATATAATCACATTAGATACCCATCCCCATCTCATATTTATGCTGATGCAAACAATGCTTATAATTACTCCTGATTCACCTCACAAGAAAACCAATGG